TGCCCGCGCGCGTGTGAGTTGTGAGAATCCACCGCAGATGGAAGAGGCTGGGATGGGGGCCAGGGGACCTTTTTCTTTCTACTCTACATTCCTATTGTTGGAGGGTTTTCTTTCCCATTGAAAACGCATTAAAACTGTGCAGTTAAAGAAAAGAATGAAAAGGAACGTGAGCCACAATGAGGCAGGCAGCGGGTCGGGACAGATGACCACTGCACGGGGACCCTGCTCCTATCTTTGGCCCTCTCGCTATGTGACTTTGGGCAAGGTTCTGCCCCTCTCTGGGCCTGAAGCAGGAATCTAAGCGGTTTGCTGAAGCCACCTGTCTCCACTGTGCATGCATGCATGTACATACACGTGACACAGGCATGCAAATACACAGCACATGTGATACATGTGCACATGTGCACACAACCATGTATGTGCCAGTGCAAATACACATGCACGCACACAGTGCATACATGCACGCCCACACCTATATGCACAGTCATACATTTACACGCCAGCAGAGTCCCCTATGCACACACGTGCACACAGGCATACGTGTACACACATGCACACAAGTCACACATGCGTACACATGCACAGCCCTCTGTGCCCACAAGTGCAGTCATGCATGCACACACGTGCACAGTCCCTCATATACACATGTGCACACAGCCATGCATGCACACGCATGCACAATCCCGCATATACACAGGTGCACACTCTCCTGCTTGCACGGCCCTGGAGTCCACACCCCTGAACCCGGGTCACCCCCAAGGCAGCGCCGGGACAGAGGCCCAGCACCTCGCTCGGCTCTGGTGTGCTGGTGACCTTGAACCGTGAGGGAAGTGGGCATCGCTGCTCCAGAGCTGGGGTGGCGAGGGCCGCTGAGTCTGCTCAGGGGGCTTGGGTCCGGGCCTGTCGGACCCTCATGGGGCCTGAGCAAGGTCCCTGCCCCTCCTGGACCTTGGCCTCCGTCCCTGACAAGACCCAATGTGCAGGGTCACTATGGGCTGCAGACGAGCTCACGGGTGGAAAGGAGCTTCGTAAGCGGGGAGCTTCGATCAGTGGGGGAGGTTTGCAACCTGGGACGGGCCGTGCAGACCCCTGAGGGTGCTGCAAGTGCAGGTCTGGGCTCAGTCGTTGGGGTGGGACCTGAGAAGCTGCATTCCTAACAGCCTGGGGTGAGGCAGCCACCCCAGTCTGCGGTCCCCGCGCTGAGCTGTGAGGAGCCGGGGCAAACCCATCCGGCTGTTCATTTCCAGAGCACGAGGTGGGCAGACGCAGACGGGGAAGAAACACGAGTAAACACTGCGAACGCTTGCATGGGCAGCCTGGTGCTGGCTGCAGAGGGAGGTGGGAGGGCTCCGGCGGGGGGCCCTCCTCCCCCGGCGCCTCGGGGAAGCTGCAAGGAGCCCTGTCACGCACCCGATCCTGTACATCCCGGCAATTACCGTTCATCTCAGCGGCACTAATCCCTTAAAATTAGTCATTAGCGGCTTAAGAGCCATTTAGCATCGGGGCCCACTAATGAGCTGGCAGAAGTGGGGATCTGTCAGAACCAGAACTTTCCGAGGCCCGGGCGCCGGGAGCCGGTGGGACCACGGCCCGCGAGTTCGCTCGGTCCGGGCAGGCGGCGGGAAGAGGAGCGGACGCATCCAGGATGGAATCAGCCCCGAGGACGTTCTCTGAGCCCCCGTCGCGGTCAGGCGCCTCTGTCCGGAGGGTGGGCTGGCCTCTGCCCCTGCCCGGCTCTCTTTAGGAAAGAAAATCCTGGAATCAGAGCGCAACCACTGTCAAGCTCAGGTGGACCTGTGGTCGGCGCAGGGTGGGTGGTCGGGGCCCGGGGCGGGCTTCCCAGCCAGACGGAGGACAGTGGGAAGACTGAGGCCCAGAGGAGACCCCAGGCCTGGCGTTCACGTGGGGCCCTGCTGGGGGAGGGGCTCCCATCCTCCTACAGCGGCGGGGTCGGGGCAGGGCAGGCAGGTGGCTCAGGCTCAGCCAACCCAAGACCTAGGCAGGGACTCGAACCGCTGGGAAGGTGACACAAAGGTTTGGGGACACTTTAGGAGTCATTTTGGAGGGTGGTGTTGGTGGAGTCCTACGGCCGTGGGACGCCCTGGCATGTGTCGGGGGGTGGGGTAGGTGGCTACGTGCCCACCAGTGGGAGTCAGGGTCGTGGCAGGATGGAGTGTGGCACCCCAGCTCTCTGAGCCCGATTCCCTACCCCAAACCTTCCAGAACATTCCTTCACTGCCTAGGTTGGCCAGCACTTAGTTCTGACCTTGCAACCGAGAACGTCACTTTTGGGAGCGTCCTGCCTGGTCCCTGTACCCCCTTGGAGGCCCAGCGGTGACCATTCCCTCTGCTGCCCACAGGGCAGAGGTCAAGAGCTCCCGTCCTGGCCATGTTCCAGGACACCCCTGGCCTACCGGCCTGCATGGCCCTCTCCCTGCCTCTTGGGGTCCCTCTGCTGCTGAGGCCCAGCTGGACCCCACTACCTCAGCCATCTCAGTGAGGACCGGCCTGCTCCCCTCTGTCCCGAGGGGTGGCTGTCCACACACGCTTGGCCCGGGAGCCGCCACCTAGTAAGCGCTACCCGCATGCATGGACGGTGCCAGTGCACACACGCAGACACACGCACACACCCACACATTCACACACGCGGGGGGCCCGGCGGTGCGTCTTCACGGGCTAATGACTCTGTGCCAAGTTCCGACCTGAGGGTTCCATTGCTGCTGGCAGCATCGGTCTCAGCCTATGTCACACACGGGAGGAAGGCCGGGCCCAGGCCTGGGGCCACAGGGCCACACCCTCACCCCACCCGGGCCTGCTGCTGGCCCGGCCTCCAAGGAGCACGGGAAGAGGGCAGAGCAGGAGAGGAAGGCCTCCCATGCTCCCGGCCCGGGGCCAGAGACCGTCGGTGGGCCTTTCCTCCCACGAAGGTGGCGGACAACTGTCGTTGCAGGTTTGGGGCTCACGAGGGGAGGGAGAGCAGGACCCGGCACAGAGACGAGGTCTACGGGCCTCAAGACCCCGAAGCCCCACCCACCCTACCGAGATGGTTGCAGATGGCACAGAATGCGGGAACGGGGACTCTGTGCGTGATGGTGGCTCAACCGCGGTCTGAACGGTGGTTGAAGGAGTGAGTCCTCTTTGACGTCTGCCTGGAATCCTCCAGCTGGCGGGTCTCTGTTGTAAATGCCGGGACCCCCGGAGGAGCTGCCCCGTGGCTCTGGCGGCCTCCGACGTGGCAGCAGACTCCCGGGAGGGGTGTTGATGTGACCCATCGGTGCCTACGCCGAGACGGGAAGCAGGGGCCGTGGCCTCGATCCTCAGCGAGTGTTGTTGGGGCCCGAGCCCGGGGCGTGAGGAGCCTGGAGCTCAGGGAGGGCTGTGGAGTGTGGAGAGACCCAGGCTGGACCAGAGCCCCAGGCTGGACTAGAGTCCCAGGCTGGACTAGAGTCCCAGGCTGAGCAGATTGTGGCGATGGGAAGCCACTCCGTCACTCCAGCTTCAGCTTTCTCATCTGTCACGTGGGAAGGGCAAAGCCCCCCCAGGGCCGTGCTGGGGATCAAACGAGCTGGGGGCTCCGGGGTTCCGGCAGGACGGCCTTGCGGACAGTGGCTGACCTTGCTGGTGACCCCCGGGCCTGGCAGGGCTGTGTCTGTCTGAGGCATGCGTTCGTGGTCTGAGCTCCAGAGCTGAGTGGCCCTGATTGGAATGCACAGGCGAGTCTCCTCCAGCTTTGCTGGGGTGGGGGGTGGGGGCTGGGCAGTGGGGGGCACAGCCCCCGCCCCCCAGGATCAGAGCCTGGGGGTGACACATGGCACATTCTGGCCACCCTCTCCCAGGACTCTGGGCTCTTGGGAGAAGGTGGGAGGCAGGAGGACCCAGTGCTGGTACACCCCCCACCCCCACCCCCCAGCGACGGCCTCGGGACCTGCTGCACGGCCGAGCTGGCTCACTGAGGCAGGGCCCTGAGCTGGCTCCCGCCCCTCTGCTGGGCTCAGATAGCAGCTCACTGTGCACGTAGCGATCACAGCGCCTGCGGTGAGGCTGCCGGCCACGGGCCAGCGCTGGCGATGGAGGCACACGGCGCGGCTGACGTCAGGACTCATTTTCCCCATGACTGGTGACAGGCCTGGAGTGCTGAGCCGTGCATGCAAATGAGGCAACACCCCAGCCTCCATCGCCAGGCCATCCGTCTCTGTCCCCCCTGTGCAAGGGGCAGGATCACCAGCCTGGGCCCCCTTGAGTCCCTAAGCCCGTCGGCTGGTCCCTCCCTCAGGCCTGGAGCTATGAGCACAGAAGCAGAAGTCCCTCAGGGCTTGCAGGCTGCACCCTTGGTGTGGGCCCCTTCTCACGAAGGCAGCCCCCATCCCTGTGCCCCCCAAACCCTGGCCTGCAGGAACCTTGACCGGGTAGTCCAGGAGAGGGCTCTCCTGAGACGTGGCTGTCAAGCCTGGTTCAGCCCTGGGCGCCTTGGTGGGAGGTGTGAGCTCCCGGGACCCCGAGGCCCAACCCTGCATCACAGTTGGGAGGTCAGTGGTCCTGAGGTCACCGAATGAAGGAGAGGATGTGACTATGGAACCAGCAGCCTCTCCTGCGGGTGCTCGGGATTTAGGGAGACCCCTCCCCACACAGGGCCCACGAGGGGCTGAAAGCCGCCTCTGGGCCAGCGCCCGAGGCCACAGAGTAGGAGGGTCAGTGGTCCATTTGGCGGGTGGGGAACCTGAGGCCGGGGCCTCGGTGCCTGTGTCCCATCTGAGAGCCAGCTGTGTGCGGGCTCTGTGTGCAGACGCCAGGGACGCCCTAACCCTCCGATGGGTGGGCTGCTCCCTTCCGCTGTCGGGGGCAGCTGCTCCTGGGCTGCCCACCTACTGTCCCCCGAGCTCTCCCGGGCTTGGACGGTATGGGGCCGCCCCCTGGTGTCCAGGGGCTGCCCTGGGGCCTGACTGAGCGTCAGCACAGGGAGCCTGTCAGCTTGGGGCTCAGACACACACACACGAGCCACACAGGGTGGCCAAGGAGGAAACTTTATTTCATAAGGTCCACTGGCCAGGCTCCGGGCACAGCCGGGTTTCAGCAGCGTGGGGGGTGGGACACCATGGGGAGGGGACAGGAAGCGGGGCCACAGAGCACTGCCCCCTAGGCCACCCCCAAAAGCAGCCTCACACCACTTTTCCAGGACGGAGGGTGGGGAGGAGGGAGGGGGGGACGGTGCAGGCCCTTGACTGCAGAGTGGGCCCTGAGCTCAGGGATCCAGGGGGACGGGGTGGGGCATCCCTGAGCAGCTTAACCCCTGCTGGCCAGCGGTGTGCCCACAGGGGTCCTGCACGCGGAGTGCTGGCTGCTGAGGGGGTGACTGGGTCGGGGTTCAGGGGGCCCCATCATGTCATGACGCTGCCCTGTCTGGGCAGAGGTGGGACGTGGGCCGAGGAAGCTGGGCCGGGTGGGGGGTGGGCAGGGGTGGGATGGCACAGCTGCCTGGGTGGGGCGGGGACCTGCTGGAGGCCAAGGGCATGGCCATGGTGGGCCCGTGGCTGCAGGCTAGGCCACGGTCTGGCGGCTGAAGAGGTCGAGGGTGAGGGCGCTGAGGAAGGCCGGGATGCTGTCCTGGCGCAGCAGGTGCAGCTCGATGAGCTCCTGCACCGTGCGCGAGAACTCCGTCTCCAGCAGCTGCATCTTGGAGCCCGAGGGTCCTGTGGCCTGCAGGGTGGGCAGGAGACAGGGAGGACGCGGTTAGTGTGGTGGCGGGTCTCTGGGAGGGTCTCCACTCCCTCCCCACCCCTCGAGCAACAGGACGGGGAGAAGCCGGGAGGCCCAGGCGACCAGGAGGGCTGACTGTGGATGTTCCGGTGCAGCCCGGCTCAGGATGGGCCCTGGCGTCCCAGGCTTCCCTTAGCCTGTCAGAGCTGGGGCCAGATGGGCACGGGCCCGTCCCCGACCCCCACCCCAGAGATGTCGGCCCGTCTGCCCAAGTCCAGGCATTGCCCAGCAGGCGATGCCATCTCCGGGGCCTCCTGGGTATGGCCAGTCAGGGCCAGCAGGTGGGTGTCTCACCCACATTTCTGGAGTCCAGGAGCCAGGATGCGGGGTGTGGACTCCAGCCCCACCGCCCTCAGACCCAGCTGTCAGGAGGAAGATGGACTGAGGAAGCTTGCCCCACGCCATCCTGGGCATCACAGCACTCACACGTGCTCCCCAACAGCGCGGGGCTCCAGGGCCGCCGCCCCATCCTAGGGCAGAATGGCCCGGGGCGGTGACACGCGGCAGAGGGCTGCTCCGTGCCGGGGCCCCGCCCAGCAGCCCTCTGCACCCGCTGCCCAGTCCGTGCAGACACTGCGAGGGCAGGGCTGTCACCGGGGCGGCGCAGGGCGGTCCAGGTACAAAGCCTGTCTCTCCCCGGCCACCGGCCTCGGCACAGAATGCGGGGGCTCCCAGGCGGCGGCACTGCTGGGAAGCTAACTGCACTCGGCGGGCCTCACTGAAAACGCCCCTCTGGGCCTCAGTTTCCCCCTCTGTGCAGTGAGGGAGCTGCAGTCTGAAGCCCTGCCAGCCCGCAGGCACTGGGACCCTGTGAGGGGCCGAGGGCAGGAAGGGCAGCGGGAAGTGACTGGGCCGCCCCCGAATGGACATTTCTCCAGAGAAGATACACGAATAGCCAATAAGCACAGGAAGCGATGCTCAGCACCACGAGTCTTCAGGAAAACGCAAGTCAGACCCCCGGGAGACACAGCCTCACACCCCGAGGCCGGCCACCGTCAAGGACAGAGGAGGAGTGGGGGCAAGGGTGTGGGGACTGTGGGTGGGAGGGAAAATGGTGTAGCCACTTGGAAAACAGCCTGGCAGTCGCTCGGAAAGCCACACATGCGCCCCAGCAATTCCACCCCCAGGTGGAGGCTCTTTGTCCCCACAAAGACTTGGATGTGAACGTTCATAGCAACAGCATTCACGACAGCCAACAAGTGGGAGCAATCACCGACGGATGGATGGATAAGCAATATGCGTGCAGACACCGGTGGAATATTGCCCAGCCCTGAAAAGGAGTCAAGTTCTGCTACGTGCTACCCCATGGATGAACCTTGAAAACACGCTAAGCCAGGCACAGAAGACCACGTTTGTAGGAATCCACCTGTGCGAAGTGTCCAGACAGGCAACTCCACGGAGACAGAGAGTAGATGAGTGGCTGCTAGGCCTGGGGGCTGGCGGGGCTGAGGGAGGGAGAGAGGGGGAGTGACTGCCACGGGGTACGGGCTTTCTTTGTGGGGTGAGGGAAATGTTTAAACGTTAGACTGTGGTGATGGCTGCAGGACTCTGAATATACCAAAAGCACTGAATGGTACACGTTAATGTGTGAATCGTGCGATGTGTGGATTTCATCTCAACTGAGCTGTTTATTAAAAAAAGCTCCCTTCTGCCCCACAGCCCGATGGGTGCTCCCCCTCCCCCAGGAGCCATGAGGCTGTCCCCAGGTCTGGGTGCCGGCAGTTTGCTCTGCCGGTGTGCATGGCTCATTCTGCACCTGGGTGGGCCTCGCGCCTGGCCCTGCCTGAGGGGGAGAGGCCACACCTGCCGGAGGCATCAGCTCCACCTGACGGCCGAGGGAACGCAGAGCCCCTCGGGGTCCAGGCCGGACGTGCTCATTGGACTCCGGGGAATAAGATGGTGCATCTCAGCAGGAGCCTGTTCCAGCTTTGCATCGGCTGCCCTCTGCCCTCTGCCCTCTGCCCCACGACCCTGAGCGGCCTTCAGACTCACACCCCACGGGCTGCCGCCTGTGTCATTTGCTGCGTGTCCCTGCCTCTGCTGTCTCGCTGGCCCCAGCCCTCTGGGGGCAGCGGCCGTGTTCCCTGCCCGTTAATACACTCAGCCTTGTCATGGTTCAACACAGACCGTTGCTGAACAAAAGAAAGAGAAACCACTCTGACCTTTTACCAAGGAAATCCTTTCACTCTGCCTTCTGCTCTTGATTCGGAATTTCTTCTGCTAAATGTCAGAGGAGCTGCTTCTCCTGCAGCTGTCAGGGGAGGTGGGGACGGCGGGGCCCAGCCCAGGCTGGAGGGCTCTCCTGGCTCAGCAGGTGGGGCCTCCCCACCCTTGTCCTCCTACCTCCCAGCCCATGCCCTTCAAACTGCACTGCTCTAGCCGGGCCTCCCCGCCCCCAGAGGTGCTCGGCCGGCTCTGACTCAGGACAGCCCTTCTCAGGGTGCTCCCCGACCCGTCTTGATCCTCCTGCCCGTGAATCTGTGAATCTGTCGGCTCCACAGCCGCTGCTCTCGATGAAGAGGCACAACTAACCCACCAACACGAGCCCGGTGTGGATCCCCCTGCTCCACCCACCCAGTATTCATAAGGCGCCTACTCTGCGCCTGGCCCTGGGCAGTGGTGGCAGAATGAGGCCACAGGACGCTGCCATGCCCTCCAAGTCTGGGGGCTGGGCAGGGGCGGGACCAGAGGGGCGTGTGGGAAGGCAGCGTGACCAGTGCCACTTTCTCATCTCAACCCAAATCAAGGCGAACCCAGTGTGTGCACCCCTGCAGGCCCCAGCCCCTCCCCCGACTTGGTGCCGTGGGCCCAGGAGCCTCCTGGTGGCCGCGCTGTCCCACTCGCCTTGAAGGGGCCGTGTCCCCCTCAGACGTGGCCACAGCGGTGGGGTTACAGGACGGTGGCACTGCATGACGCCAGCTGATCGATCTCTGCCCCGCGCTCTCACGCTCAAATACCACCCAGTCCCCAGGTACCTTGTAAATCACTCTAATTGGGGGCTGTTCACTTAAAATTAGTTGCAATTTTTTAAAAAGCAAACTGCCCAGTAAGACACGTGGGCTGTGGCTAGAAATATTTATGGGCAGCTGTGCTGTCTGTCTGCTTCCTCTGCCCCCGGCGCTGGGCAGTGACAGGCAGCGGTGGGGCTGCGGACGCTGGCGGGGACGGAGATGCTCGGCCGTAATGAAGACCTCCGCTGCCTGGTGGCCGCCTGCCTGGCCTGGCCTGGCCTCGGGGCCACCTCCTCCGCCTGACAGCAGAGCCTGCCTGCCTGGAAGGCTTCCCGCCCGGAGCTAGGAGGCTGGCCCCGCTGCCACGGTGTGTGTCCGCGGATGGCAGGGGTGCCCAGGTGTTGCGGGCGGGGCAAAGCTCTGCTCTCAGGCTCAGCTGGCCATGGGTCCCTGTCCCAGCTCTGCGGCTGTGGGTCACTCCACAATGACACGCAATGGGGGACAGCCCCTCTGTGGTGCCTGCCTGCTGCCCGGCTCGACAGGGGTTTGTTCAGTGCGGTCTCGCCCGCCACCTCTCAGTGTCCCCACTGGCAGGATGGTGCCCGCAGGCGCTTGGTGATGCTCCAGAGTGAGAGCCCTGAGGAGGGAAGTGCTCGGGGCCAAGGAAGGCCGCACAGAGCGGAGACAGGCCAGTTCTCTCCCTTGGGGCTCCCCACCCCGTGTCCCCAGCTGCAGGGTGGTGAGGCTTGAGGGCAAGGGGCAGAGCGTGAGTGGACTCCTGTCCAGTCAGGAGCTCCTGTGGCTGAGGGCACTGAAGACTCCAGAAATGAGGGACACACGGAGGAAAGACCCGGAGACTAACCCACTGCGCATCACAGAGCCTGAATCCTGGTCCAAACGCGGTTCAGGGGACACACAGATCATCCCACAGTCGGGGGGGGGGGGTCAGTGCTGCTCTCAGACACTGGAGCCCTGAATGCCGCTCGTCTGCGACGGGGCCTGTGGTGCGTGAATTAAACGTCCCCACTGCTCCTGAGGAAGCGGCCACGCCAGGGCTGGAGAGAGAAGACAAGGAGAGCCTGGAGCGTCCTGGGTGCCTGGGGGGACAGAAGGTGGGCACGTCAGAAGGACACGGGAGCCAGAACTCGGTGAGAGCGACAGCCGGGAAATCGTGAAACGCGGAAATCTAACAGCACTCTTCTCAACAACCCGGGGGCCGAAGAGGACGGCCCGGAGGACGGAGAACGCACAGAGCTGGACGAGGACGGAGAACACACAGAGCTGGACGAGGACGGAGAACACACAGAGCTGGACGAGGACGGAGAACGCACAGAGCTGAATGAGGACGGAACTCGCCGGGGCGGGGGCACCGGGCAGAGCGAGAGGGACGCTGCAGGGCCGGAAGCCCATGTCAGAAGGCAGGGGAGACCCCTCCACAGCTGTGCAAGCTCCACCTCGAGAAACGAGGGAAGGAAGAGCAAACGAACGCAGAGCACGCAGAAGGAAGGAGCAACGGGAGCAGGGCAGGAGCGAACAAACCCGAACACAGGACACAGGAGGGAGTCACGGAAGACCGGCAACGGCACCGCCAACCTCTAGCAAAGCTGACAGAGGAAAGAGGAGTTACCAACATCGGAACGCACCAGAGTCTGAAGCTGTTAGAAAGGTAAGAAGAAAACACTACAGAAAACCCTGTGTGCTCATAAGCTCGACGGCTTGGGACAACTGGGCAATCCCTTGAAAAGCTTCATGCACCAAAACTTAGCCAAGACGAAACAGAAAACCTGAACAGTCCTATAGCCATAAAGACATCGAACCTGGAACGAAAAAGCTCCTCAGAGAGAAATCTTCAGTCCACGATGGTTTCGCTGGAGAATTTTACCCAACATTTAAGCAAGAATTAACACCGATTTTACACAGAAAACCAAAGAGGGAACTCTTGCAGCCCAGTATTGACCTGATTCAAAAATCAATAAAGACAGTGAACAC